TCAAGCCATTTATGAATCTCTCTACACTATCATTATCCAAACCCTCTACATTATCAACTTTTGACATTCCACTCAAAAGTTTTTCTATTTCATCATCATGATTTTCACTAAGTTCATCAATAATGTCAAAAAGTGAGTTTTCAACCACATGTATTTCCAAATCATCATATAAAGGATTTTCAACGCATAAAAGAAAATGTATAGGTATACTATGAGGTTTAAATTCTTTCTGATCAAGATCAATGCTAAGACCTTCATGTAACTCCAGGTAGGGAATTGAACCATCCTTTCCAAAATCATTTTCATTCACCTTTTCCTCTATGGATGGTCTATCTAAAGGAAGCTCTAAGAATGAGGTATCTACAACTTTAAGCATAGGATCAAGGAATAAAAAACCTATTAGACAAATAAGTTCTTTACTAATGAATTCTTCCTCATCCTTAAGCTTAATACTAGATTCAAGAAAGAATGTGTTTAAGGGCTTAAGTGATCTATCTAGTAAGCTTATCTTATCAACTTATGTATCCATTTTATCCATCTCTATATAATTGGGTAAGTGATCATAAAAAAACTTAAGAAATGGCATGAGTGGAATATCAATATCAACTTTTTCTTTAAATGCTATCTTCTGTCTCAACTCCCCTAAATGCTCCATCATCATCAACTTTCCTAGCCATAAACATATCATTTGCCTTCACCATATCTTTCTCCATAACTTTCACAAAATGTGGTACTTTTACCATAATGGCTCATCATCATCATCAATCCATCTCAAACCTCCTATACTATCATAATTTCTTAATGTATGCTCTTCCTTCTCCTCCTAACAAAGTGTTGACTCGATATTCTTAGTCATGAAATCTTGAGGGCAAGTAATTAAGGTATGTACATTTTGACTATATTGCTTAAAATTCCTAATGTATGCCTCTAGGTCTTGTTGGTATTTTTCTTAAACTCGAAGCAATTCAGTGAGCATCTTCTCAGAGGATAGTTTTTTTTCTTCTAGAGGAAATGGTGGTGAATATGAAGTGGATGGAAAGTGATATGAAGATGAATGGTGTGATGATGGAGAAAAATGTTGCTATGGTGGAACATAGTGTAGCACTTAAGAAATTTATAATGATGGTAGAGAATATTGTGGAGGTGGAGGGTATTATAAAAGTGAATGCTTAGTAGGATAAGTCAAGGTGTATTTAGGTGGTGAACTAAAGGAATGTCCTAGACTAGTATCTTACATTGTTTTATGATAACCCTCTCAAGTGTGAGTAGTGTAGATGTTTGAGTAAAATTGTAATTGTTGGTCTAATGGACACCTATCAGTATGATAAACTCTACCATGCACTTCACCATTGTCATGTTGGCTTGGAAGTTATAGACTACACTAGGCTTAGGATCAACATAGCTTTAATGGCCTCTACTATATTTTCTATAAAGTTAAATATTTTGGTCAAATCTTTAAGGGCCAACTCTATTATGATAGTTTTCTTCACTAGGCTATGGTCCTAGGTAGTCATTGAAAAAATAAGGTTTAGCATGATCCATATGATACTCAATTCCCTTATAAGTATTAGAATCCTAAACAAAAACCTACACAAAGAAAGTTAGTTGTGTACAATTTAGGGAAACAAAAACAAGGCAAGTTAGTAACTAGGCTAACAAAAATACACTAAAGGTGAACCAATCTATAGTAGAGCATGGTGAAAATTGATATTAACCTAGGACTCTTGACTCCTAATCCTTGACAACGGTACCAAAAACTTGATGAAAGAAATCTATAAGTACACAGGTCAGATAAGTAGTAAAAATGACCTTTTGGTTGGAATGTCTATCCCATAAAAATTAGGTAAAACCTCATAAGCTAAGTATCAGTTATCATCCTACTCTTCCTAAAGTTAGTTCAATCAAAGAAAAAGCATGAAACTAGACTAACTAAAAAAAAAATAGAAATAAAATCAACCAAAACAACACAAATGATTTTAGTAAAATATAAGCATGCATTATTTAAACAAAGTAAATGAAAGAGAAACATTGAAAATTTCACAAAATAGTAAATGCATGAAAATTGAAACATCATTAAGTTGGAAATACAACTAGTAAATTGCAAAAGAAATATCAAACAAACTTGTAACATATCATACAAGGCTGAAAATGAAATTATAACTATTATGATGCATTAAAAATGACATAAGCAATTTAAGAAACTAATTAAAACTAATGAAAATTAAAAATGCCAAAAAGTGTAAATGAATGACACAACTAAATGACAAATCACCAAACCGTAACTACCTATGGTGTTGTAGTGAAAATGGTGTCACTATATCTAATCCATGTGCTCCAAAAACAATTGAAAATTATCTGGAGTTTATTCAATTATTAAGAGAACTACATACAATGTTAAATCATTGAACAAAATTTAACAAAATCTGGAAAATAAGGTAGCAAATGAAAAGAACAGAAAATATGGAAATTTAAAATGTGGATTACAGTTTGCATCCTAAATGGAACAAGTTGACTTTCACTTAAACTAAATGAAGATCTAAATGAAGAACTAATTGAAGAACTAAATGAAAGTGTAATTTGCAAAAACAAACTTGAAGAAAAAAAAGAAAAAAAATGATTCAAGTAGTCAAACGTACTTACAATAGCTATTACATCTAATGAAACCTTATGAACTTGCAAAAGAAAAATCTAGTCTAATAACTTCTACTAGAAACGAAATTCACCTAAGCTAAAACAACATATATCTATGAGATAACTACCTAAATCAATAAGACAATTGCATGAATGAACAAGAAAATCAGCTCAATGAACTCAAATTCCAAAATAGTGTAGAATATAAAAAAACAGAATATCATCAAATAAAATTAACCAAACAACACTTAAAAAATTAAATAAATTGCACAAAATGGAAATAAGAAAGGTAACTAATAGAACTAAAGATATAAGGAAGAAAAGAAGCCAAACAAATCGCCAAAGTGGAGAGAAGATCCATGCCAAAGTCAGTCTGTACATCTTGCCTGCACTTGTCACCTACATCCATATGTGACTTCCAACCTGGATTTGGATTAATGTGCTATGAATATAAGGTTGGAATTCAACTATGTTGTAGCTCTATGGATTATGAAACTACAAAAAAGAACTTAAACGAAAACAAGAAGATATGATAGAGTTATGATTCAAAAACGGTTGCTAGGTCAACAAAGACAGATGCAAAAATAGTTTTGAACATTGATAGAAAAACAAGTAAAATGAGTTAGAAAATGATTGCAAATGTAAATTTTATTGAAAGATTCTTAAAGAGCACTTAAAAAAACTTAAGAAACTGGAAATTTGCAACAAGTTTCAATATAAATATGCTAGAAAATAATGTTTAGCTACTAAGAAAATGTAAAAAATAGAAATGAAAGTGCAAAGTAAAAAAAAAAATTTAATCCTAAACTAACTCTGCTTAAATGGCTGGCCCTCACCTCCTATTTATAGGCAGTGGGGAGGAGTCTCAACTTTGAAACAATTCTAAAAAGATATTTAAGCAACTAGGCTTCTAGAGCCTTCTCTTTCTCTTAGTGCTACAATGCTAGATCGCACTTTGTGGTTGTTGCTTCTTCAACAGATTGAACTTGCAAGCTTTCATGTGTAAATGCTAATTCAATAATTCAAAATAACAACCAATCAAAGCCCCTTAAAGTGCCAATTCAAACCTTAGCTTTGGTGCCCTTCAACCAGCTTGTGAAGCTTTATGCTTTTGGTGCTCACTCCATGCACACCTGTACATCCAACATTCTCCATTCATCTTTCATATATAAATATATGTACTTTCTACAAAAAATTTCAAACATTCTAAGAATATTTTTCTCATACATTTTATTAAAAAAATAACTATGAAAATAATACTAAAAAGATTATTTAAAAAAAGTCAAGAAAGTGTCAACGTGACCTATTGACACTACTTTAGGCCATTTGCATAAATTGAACTAAAAATCCTCCAAATTTGTATAAAAAATGATCAAAATTCTTTAATTTCATTATTTGTACCTACACATGAGATAAATGTGCATTTAGGAGTAATTTTGTCAAAAAATCTTAAGGAACAAGCCAAAATATGATTTAAATTGTACTAAAAATGATCATGAAAATGTTAAAATTTTAATGCAAACAGGTGACACTCTTTCATGACATGATGCATAAAGAGATTGATGTGTATGTGGATGATATGATTACGAAATCTTGAGAAGAAAGGGATCATGTTGCCAACTTCAAAAAATTATTTGAGAGGTTGAGAAAGTTCTTTCTCAAACTAAATCCATCCAAATGTACATTTGGAGCTAAGTAAAAAAACTTGCTAGGTTTTGTAGTTAGTGAAAGAAAGATTGAAGTTGATCAAGACAAGATACCTGCTATCCAAAACTTGTCTCCTTTGAGCACGCCAAAAGAAGCTCAAGGTTTATTGGGCAAATTGAATTACATATCCCATTTCATCTCCCACCCTACCTTTAAATGTGATCCCATCTTTAAGCTTCTTTATAAAAATAATCTTGGTGAGTGGAATGAAGAATGCCAACAAACTTTTGATAAAGTCAAGCAATACTTGTCAAATTCTCCAGTGTTGGTGTTGACTATTCTAGAGAGACCATTAATTTTATATTTGTTACTATGTAACAAGTCAATGGGATGTATGTTAAGGTAGCAAGATGAAATCAACAAAAAAGAGCAAGCCATTTACAATTTGAGTAAGAAATTCACAGAATACGAGTCTAAGTATTATTCATTAAAAAAGATGTGTTATGCATTAACTTGAATAGCCCAAAGACTCAAACAGTATATGCTCTACCACAACATTTGGCTTATAACAAAACTAGACCAAATTAAGCCTTCCTCATCTATAAGGATTGCAAAGTGGCATGTTCTTAGAATATGACATCATATATGTAAGTGAAAAAGCCATCAAAGAAAGCACCATAGCTAAATTCCTCTCAAATCATCTTGCTGAAAACTATGAGCTAATGAAGCTTGACTTTCTTGATGAAGATTTAATGGTTGTATCCCAACTTGATGAGAAAGAGTATTGTGAGAAATCTTGGAAAGTGTACTTTGATGGAGTTGCTAATACCCTAGGGCATAGAATTGAGGCAATTCTAATATCTCTTGAGAAACATTATTACCCTATTAAAACGAGATTGAACTTCAATAACACTAATAATATGGCTAAGTATGAGGTGTGTGTTATTGGTTTACAAGCCGCCATAGATAGGAAGATTAAAGTATTAAAGGTGTATGGGGATTCAGCTTTGATCATCTATCAATTGAAAGGAGAATGGGATACAAGAGATTTGATATCATAAGAATATCTCAGAGTTGATCAAGCAATTCAAAATAATCCAATTTAAGCATTTACCTTGTAAAGTGAATTAGATTATTGATGCCTTAGCTACTTTGGCCATAATGATTAGGATTAATGACAATACTGAGATTCAACCCATGAAATTAGATGTTAAGATATACTAGCACATTCTTCTAATGTGGAAGAGAAAAATGATGAGAGACCATGGTATTACGATATCTTACAATATGTTAAGATCAACAATATCCAAACCAAGTAACAGAGAATGATAAAAGAGCTATCAAGAGTTTAGTTATGGGTATCTTCTGGGATAAAGATGTTCTTTATGAAAGAGGTCGAGTTCAGGTGCAATTGAAATGTGTGGATGCAATTGAAGCAAAGAAAATTCTTAAAAAGGTGCATGATGAAACATGTAGGACAGGTGTAAATAGGCATATGATGGCAAGACAAAGCATGAGAGCTTAATAGTACTAGCTGACAATGAAAAGTGATTGCACTGAATATGGTCAAAGATGTCACAAGTGTCAAATCTATGCTGATAAAATCAACACTCCACCTACTTCATTACATGTCTTGGCACCACCATGGATGTTCTCCACATGGGGCATGAATGTTATTGGTCCTATCACCTTGACGACTTCAAATGGGCATAAATTCATTTTTGTGATGATAGATTACTTCACAAAATGAATAGAGGCTGCTTCATATGGAAATGTGACATGATCCGTGGTTTAATAGTTTATAAAAAGAGAGATAATTTGTAGATATGGATGATATGCACATTACAAGCACATAGGCCGCACAAGTAATAAAGTGGAAGAATTAACTCTCAAACATTGTCTCATAAGGACTGCGGTGGTATTTTGATCTAACTACTAAAATTGACATCTTATGTATGTTTAAATATAGTAAAAATTAAATGGTGCTTGAAATTTTAAATGAACATTAAATTTAAATTGCGTGAAATTAAATTACAAAAATATAAAGTGTATAAAAATAAAGAAGTATGAAAATTAAATAACATGAAAATTAAATGGCAAGTAAATTAAATAACATGAACTTAAAAATGCATAAAATTTAAATTGCTTGAAAATATAAAATGCATGTAAAGTAAATTGTAAAGAAAACTGAAGTAAATGAGAGCATGAAATTAAATAACATGAAATTAAATTGCATGAACTTTAAAAGAGCATAAAATTTTAAAAAGTGCCTGAAAATTAACGAGGTTAGAAACTTAAATAATAAAAAAATTAAAATTTCAAGTAACTACATAACACAAAATAAAATGCTAGAATATTAAATAAATAGAAATGCAATAAAAGGAAGTAGGTATATACATTTTAAAATAAATTAAAAATGAAATAGAAAATACAAGATTCAAGAGGGAAGTAGCCACTAAGATGATATCTCGCTTTAAGGCATCTTCCCTCTATCCTTATCCCAGCGTCATTTTCCTAGCTGATTAGACCGGATTTGTGCTACCAAAAAAAATAAAATTTTGAAGCTCAATGACGCTCGATGAAAAGACAAAACAATGTTGTCTAAACCTTAGGGGAAAAAAAAGTAAAGAGATGAGAAATAATGGCAATAAATTAATGAAGAAATTGGAACTGAAATATGCTATTCAAGTGAAATAAATCCATATAACTAGAATATTATTCTAAGCTTCTAGCTCCCCCCCCCAAAAAAAAAAACCGTACAAACATGAATGAAAATAGCTTAAGGCAGCCGCACCAACACAACCTAGAAAGAAATGAAGAGAAAAAAATGCCCTCTTACAGCCGCTACTTCCTCTCAAATTTGTTAGTGTGGTGCTATTCAATAGCTAATAAATATCTTATTTTTTATAGTATTATATTTAAGTTGAATTCCTTTGTTTATTATCAATTAGTTTTAAGTTGGATATTTAATATGTTATAAAAGTCAAAATTTCTTTTTGTTACTCTTCTTAAATCTATCATGTAATAAATTTTTTTCAATTAATTTTAAAGTGGACGCTTAACAAAACTCTTTACTACCTTTTAAAGAAAATAAAGGAAATTGTTAACTTAAAAGACTCCAAAAATCATCCCTAAATTCTACCGTATTCATAGCACAATGAACTTAATGATAAAAACTTAAAATCAATGAAAATGGCAGCTTAAAATAGCAACAAAGAAGCTTTAAGCAAAACTGGAAATCAATCCTGAAAAATTGCAGCGAAATTTACTCAAATTCATAGTATTTTCTATCTAATATCACAGCTCAAGAAAGATGGCAAGGAAGTCAAGGAAAGGTAAAAGGAGAAGAAAAAAAAATAAAGAATACTCAAGGTGGAGGAGTTCAAAGACTGCCTTTCACCGTTGCTGCTCTAGGAAGCGCAGAACAGCAGGTGGCGTCACTTGAAGATAATGAAAATGAATGTGGCGCTCCCCCCCCCCCCCCCCCCCATGCTGTTGTATAATGTCCTATTTAAGGCCCCTCCTAAGTTTTTGGTGGCCAATCAAATGGCTCTAAAATGCCATGTCAGCCCCTTCATTTTCAGCTCAAGTGGATAGCTTTCTGCTTGCCAAATCCGTGACTTGCATAGCTGCTGTGTTGTTTAAGTTTTGCACTTCTTTCCAGCTCATGAAGGTGGCCAATAAGCTTGTATCATGAAGCCAACTAGGAGACATGTCAGCTTCTGCATACGCTCATCAAATGGGAAGGCTTTGGTTGTCCAAATGGACCAACCCGATGAGGACAGCATTTTCAGCCAGCTGGGGCGTTACTTTCGGCAAGAATTGGGGAGGTAATAACCGCTCTTTATGCAAGGAATGTGCAGCAATCTTCAGCGGCTAGCCTTCCGATCTTGTTCCGAGTAGGTGGCCAGGTTAGCAACAATTCATAGTAGCTTATTGCAGCAGCAAATGGCTCAACCCGTGACAGCAGGCAGCAGCGTCCCACCTGGGTTCCTTTTTTGGTGCGGCTCTCTTCTTCCTAAATTGTGATAGTGCCAATGCCTTTGCAAAATATGGTCAGATCAGCAACTTAATTGGCAGCATATTGTGTGCCAAAAATTGGAGAAACTGTATACAACATGTAGACAAGGATCATAACAGAAGATGCTTCCAGCTGTCTCCTCCTTTTGTGCTTATACATAAGTCAAGCTTTCTTCATGCAAGAGTGGCTAGCTGATCCCTTAATATTTGGCCAAGTCATTACTGTCTAGAAAATCAATGGAGATCTTCGTTGATTTTCAGTAGTGGAAAGGACCCCTTTGGCTGAAGATTCATGCTCGCACATGTAGGTAAAAAATTTTGCAAGGCCAATGCTTGAGAGCTTTATCCTTGTTTAATTTAATCTTGTTGAGTTCAAAATCTGTGACGATTATCTACAGTGGTGATCAGCCGAGGAACCTAAAAGACAGGCAATCACAATTATCCACGGTACTTGGAGTTTGTATTGAGACACCATTTTTTGACGATTAAATCATTATATTATAAGGATATAGAGAGATGAAATGAGCAAGAGAACTTGCCAAAAAATTTCTTTGGTTGGCCCAATAAGAGAAATTAGAATAAATTACATAATTACCTACTAAACTTTACCCACTTTTTAAATAAGATCACTAAATTTCAATTTGTTTCATTTAAATCACTAAAATTTGTTAAATATTTCATATCTAGTCACCTAATATTTTTTACTCAATCAATAATAGAAAATGATGTAGTTGCCATGTAAGCTGCCATGTCAACACCTACATAATTTATTAATCCACGTCATATTTCCTTCATCTCCTATCAACTTCTTCTTCATCTCAGATTAGTTATTAATCCACCCATAACTGCCTTCTCCCAAGCTCCTCCCTGTGCTTTCTAGCAACTCTTACCATTGTCAACAGATAGGTTGCATCGGTAGTTGTTACTTCTGCTGCCTAGTCATCACTAGAACCTAAAAGGATTGTCTCCATGTCATTACAAACAAGAAAATTTATACGGGTATGCATTCCTAGTTTGCACTAAACCTGTATCTTTTGCATAGTTAAAGTGAAAGGTGTTCAATAGTTTGATTGGTTAACTAAAGAGAATGCTCCTATGCTTGAAGTTGTAGAGAACCATAATGGCATCAAAAATTACTATCATGGCAAACATATTGCAGAGGCAAATCCCTCTGATACTACTTCTCGAACATTCGCTTCAAAATTGCAGGTTAGAGGTCCAAAGTACATATCCTTATTCAACCATCATTAAGAGATTGATCTACAGGGAAATGTTAATGGAGCTGTAGAAACTTGTAAAAGTGAACATAAATGGGGCTAAAAAATTAAAGCTACCATTATAAACCATGAAAACCAAAACTTTAAATACAGAGTTAATATTTTCAATAACTTTTTGCCTCTGAAATATTCAAAGCTTCTTCTCTATTTAAGTCTAAACTCTCTTTCTGTAATAAATGTTCAATTTTTGAATTTTTTTAAGACTAAAACAAAAAGAAAGAAAGAAAAAGATAAACATTTGGTAGAAGAAGACAGAGGAACTGAAACATGAGGAGCCTACATTCATAATTATATTAGATCTCTTTTTCTAGAAAATTAATCGCAGAATTCAGTAAGATTGAAAAACACAAAGTGGAAATGAGAAAATTTTATTAAAAAAATTTGCTTCTTTAATTTTGTAAATTAAAAATGGATTCTTTTAGAGAAAATTTTTGGAAAGCCAATTTAATGTAAGAGTTGGCAATTGGCAATGCTAAATAAGTAATGGTGAAAGAAAGCTATTGTAAAAAAAAGATAGATAGGTAATGTCAAAACAAGGAGAAAACGCAGAAACAAGGAGAAGAAGAAGCTTATGGAAGAGGAAGAAAATATGATGCGGATCAAAAGCCTACGTGGATGTTAACACAGCAGCTTATGTG